TTCATCTGTTGAAGGGCACCTAGGTTAGCTCCATAGTTTAACTATTGTAAGTTGAGTTGCTATAAACATTTATGTAGCTGCATCACTGTAGTGTGCTGATTTTTAAGTTCTTTTGGTATAAACTGAGGAGTGGAATAGCTGGGTCAAATGGTGGTTCCATTCCAAGTTTTTTGAGGCCCTGGGTTTAATCCCCAACACTGAAAAAAAAGGAACAGCAACTTCCTACCTTCCTAATAAGCTTTTAGATTTATTCCTTTACAACAAGCATCAATTTATGGATCAAGTTTGGCCCACCCTCTCATTTTTATAGTTTTTTTTAATCACAACCATACTGCTTTCCATAATGGTTGCACTGGCTCCCTAATTTTCATACAAGAAATTTAGTGAAGCTATATAATTCAGTTGACATTCTATATCTGCAGACAGTGAAATTTGTGTTTAAATTTTAGTGACTATAATGTCAGGTATTCTTTTATACTCTCTGTGGAAGCTTTCTCAGACTGCAATTCATGCTAGGAATTTAAGGACCTGAGCTCGTTACGTCTTTCTGTAGATTCTTCACGCAGTCAGAGGAATCTGTTTCACAACACTGTCTTTTTACTTGTCTTTGTAGTCATCATTATTATAGTGGTCAAGGGCAGCAGCCTCTTGGGCTTCCAAGGCATTAACTTTAATAGGTCGTTCATTACAGTCAACGGCGGGGTTAGTAACTTGATTAATTGTGACACCAGTGCATGCCTTGGATTACCAGCATCCCGTTTCCTACTGGTAAGGACTCAGCACTGTGCTCAAGCCCAAAAACTATGATGCGCTAACTAATATAAGGTGGTTAACTAGTAGAAGGCTTAAAAATATTTTAAGAGATGTATAAGGAGCAACTGCAGAAAGCAGCTACTATATTTAAGGCCAATGAACTTGAAGATCAAACTCCTCTACCATTCTCTGTGGAGAGTGCATGCGTGCCACAGGACCCTTTACCACCTAACAGTGGTAAAGAAATTTGCCAGAGGACAAGTGTCACAGCTGGTCTAGGAAATCCTTTGTTATAATGGTAGGAAAAAAAAAAACATTAATCTGCTAATGTCTAGACACCAAAAGGAAGCAAAGTTCCTTCCTTCTGCTTTGGCCTTGCAGTGTCCCTCTAGTACCTTTATTAGAACAAATCAAATCAGTTGGCAAAGGAAAAATGCTTATAGGATTCAGTTTCAGTAAAAAATAATGGGATTAAAATAGTGAATTTGGGGCTAAGCAGCAATAAAATTAAGAAAAAGTTCTTATTCTATTTCATGGATGTAACTGCCATCTATATGCTGTTGCCTCATATTTTTATATCTCTTGCCTGTACCCCCTGATCTCCAGAGAAGAATTAATATGTCAAACTGGCTCTTTGCTGTCTTCGATTGAACTTCTTAGGCATCCTTACCCAAAGTGGTACAGAAATGAATACTTGTACCTTGTCTGGTTTCTCTCATATCAGTAAATGGCATCATCTTTGAAGCAGAAACCACCACTTACTCTACACTCAGTTGGTTAAAGTTCTTTCATATGTATTTTCAAACATGTCCAAATCCTACCACTTCTCATCATTTCCTCTGCTGTCATCCTGCTCCAGGTCATCTCTTGACTCTCAGATCTCAGATTACATCCTACATTTCTTCATTGCCAGTTTATGCTTGTTAATTAGATGACTACTTATTCTCATTCTGTAACAGCTGTACCCCATCCCTCTTCCATCTTATTTCATGAAAGGTTCAAAAGCCTTAGGGTTTTTGTATGCTTGCTGCATCTCTTGCTGTCAGAGTAAGCCCATTGTTGTGTATTTATCAGTGTAGTACTAGCCTTTTTAAAAAAAATTAATACTAACAATTAATAATATTAATATCATTTGCATAGTTTTGAAGCTTAGATTTTTCTATCTTTAACTAATAATTACCTATTGCCAAATTTCCCTTTTGTTTTGTTTTGTTTTTAAAATATTCTCATCTGTTAAATTAAGAGTATCTCCCATAGAAAAGCAGTGGAGGCCCCATAGGGAAATACAAAGCAGAATTAAAACTCCCAAGGGTTTTGTCTTTACAAGAGAAAAGGCAGGACCTATTGTCAAATTTTAAAAAACATTTTAAAGCATTTTTAAAAGATGGCCTCATTTCCTAAATTTCTGATTTCTTGGGTAGAATCTACTAAGATAGCAGTCTTCTCCCCCCACCCCTAAAAGTTTCCACTTATGTCATTGGCATTTGTTAGTTAATAGGTAAAATCTCTTATTCTTTTTCATCAACTTAATTTCTGTATTGTTGCATTTTTTAATATTTATTTTTTAGGTGTAGATGGACCCAACAGAATGCCTTTATTTTTATGTGGTGCTGAGGATCGAACCCGGGTCCCACCTGCTCTAAGCAAGCGCTGTACTGCTGAGCCACAATCCCAGCCCTGTGTTGTTGCTTTTTAATAGTTCATTTTATTCAACAACTAAAGTCAGACCAGTACACTGCCTTATTAGGGAAAACCATTCCTGTATACCATCTTGTATGTTGGAATAGATTATGTCAGGTATCAGAACATTCTCTTTTATTCAATGTATTCACAAGAGAGGATTGAATGGAGGTAGAAGGGCAGATCCTTGCATATGAGGAAAGTTGTGTTAAAGTTTCAACACATCTTGGTTTAAGTGGAGTGCCAGGGTAAGTTGTTGCACATAACACACACTTCCTCACTGCCTGCAACCCCAGTTCCTGTCTGCCTTTTCCACCAAACAACTCTGAGACAACCTAAGCCCAGAGGTTACCAATGGATTGAGTACAATGGGGAAGACACCTTACTTCTACTCTTTGGGATTAAATGGTCTAGAACCGAGTAGGGGAACTATGGCCAAAAACAAGTGAAGATTTTTAAGGAAACTTTGATAGAAATAAGAATGACATATGAATTCAAATCCAGAAAAAAAATCCTACTGGGGAGAAATAAAATCATAGCTGATGTTCTAAAAAATTCCTATAAGAAAGGGTTGGGGAATGACCTTTTATACACAAGCTCTAAGAACCCTGGACACAACAGGAGCTATGTCTAACACAGTTTGGGTCTACTGAGCCAGATTTCTTGAGAGCTACCTAGCAGGTAGCCTACCTCGTATATCACATCTGTCTGGCTCAGTCTGCAGTGAGAGTCCTTCAGCTCCATCAAAGTGCTCTCCAATGTGTTATAGTCATCCTTTTTTTGTTTTTGTTGTTTCTTTCTTTTTTAATTTATTATTGGTTGTTCAAAACATTACAAAGCTCTTGACATATCATATTTCATACATTTGATTCAAGTGGGTTACGAACTCCCATTTTTACCCCGTATACAAATTGCAGAATCACATTGGTTACACATCCACGTTTTTACATAGTGCCATACTAGTGTATGTTGTATTCTGCTGCCTTTCCTTATCCTCTACTATCCCCCTTCCCTTCCCATCTTCTCTCTCTACCTCATCTACTGTAATTCATTTCTCTCCCTTGTTTTTTTCCCTTTCCCCTCACTTCCTCTTGTATGTAATTTTGTATAACAATGAGGGTCTCCTTCCATTTCCATGCAATTTCCCTTCTCTCTCCCTTTCCCTCCCACCTCTTGTCCCTGTATAATGTTAATCTTTTCATGCTCTTCCTCCCTGCTCTGTTCTTAGTTGCTCTCCTTATATCAAAGAAGACATTTGGCATTTGTTTTTTAGGGATTGGCTAGCTTCACTTAGCATAATCTGCTCTAATGCCATCCATTTCCCTGCAAATGCCATGATTTTGTCATTTTTTAGTGCTGAGTAATACTCCATTGTGTATAAATGCCACATAAAGCTCAATTCCAGGAAATTCTTGACACATTTGCTCTTCTGACCGGAGGGGAGGGACTTATGTCACCTGGTTAGCTGGGGAGATTTCAGGGGAATGAGGTCTCCAGCTGATGGTTGGTGCTGGTGAGTTCCCAATTCTTGCCTTGACCATGGTGGCCAGCTCACTTAGGGTCTCTTGATGGCACAGGTACTCACTCTAGCTAACCACCCCTGTCTCACAGCAGACTAGTGCCTGGCCATTTAGCAGGGTATCAGTGAGGATCTTCCATACAACCTTGAAAGGAGTAATAGTGTTTCACAGATCTAGCACAAGGAGGAACAGAAATTATTGCCCATTAAGGAACGGTGGTGCCAGCCTTCAGCATGAAACGGAGTCTCAGAGGCAAGGATGGCATCCAAAACTTTCATCCTATACAAATAGTTGTAGCAACTTTGATTTACCTGGGTTTCCAGTTGTAGCAGGCTTGCGTCTGCAAGGAGCTGGGATTCATACTTGATGTTCTGAACACTGAAGAGTTGAATGTCATTCTCCTCTTTTAAGTCTTTGGGAACATTGTGTCCCACAGGGACACCTGTTGTAGGTTCATTTGCAAGTGTATGATTGCTTCTTCACAAAAATAAATAGCAGTACAAATATCAGGCTCCTGTAGGCCATCACATGCACCCAGGCACAACATTCACCCAGGACTGCCTCCCCACACAGAACTGCATGGTTTTCCCACTGCTCTGTCTTGTTAGCCAAGGCTGCAGGGAAGCAACCATGCCTGGATTCCCTGGAGTTTGCCGGCCATTTGCTTATGGGGGGAGATCAAGCCAGACCTTGTCTGAAAACATGGTGCATGGGGGACTAGGAAAGGAGGATGACACCTTCCTGTAACCCCTCCCAGCACTTGGCTCAGACAGGCAATCTCAACTTTTTTTTTCAACTTAATTTCTTTTAAGACAAATATCAGTACTCAGTTTGGTTACATTTAGAAATGAGGTTAATTTTTTTTTTTTTTAGAATTTCTTACTGGAATTTTCATAGAAAACTTCATCTGCATCTCTTGACTCCTTTTTTATGTTGATTTGAAGCCATAATAAGTATAGACATCCTCTTTGAAATTAAAGGTCCTTCAAGCACGTGTTTTTTAAAAAAGACAATTTCTTAATACATACTCTTTTCTTCCTTTACCAGGTGGAAGATGTTGCTGTTTTTCTCCTGATGGAAAAGCTTTAGCTGTAGGTCTCAATGATGGAAGTTTCTTAATGGCAAATGCAGATACTCTAGAGGATCTTGTGTCTTTTCACCACAGAAAAGATATTATTTCAGATATTAGATTTTCACCTGGTAAGATTGCATTTATTTGATTATTAACTTTGGTCGGAATATGAGTAAATGTATCAATGTGTGGTTTATATTAGCTTGTTTTATTTTGGAATTTTACTTTTTTGACTAGAAGGAGCAGTATGGTAAGAAGTAAAAGCCCTGTATTTGATTATGCAAATATCTTGCTTAGTGCTAATTCTTATTACTAAATTTTCCATATGACTTGGTCCAGGACACTATTCTGAACTTCACCTTTCTCATTTGTAACATAAAAAGAGCTTGATTGTTTTCATGACATTCTTAATATTCTTAGTGCTTTTAAAATTGTATTACTTTGTGCTGGGGATGTAGCATGGCATGTGAGAGACCCTGGTTTAATCCCCAGCACCACAAGGAAGAAAATGCATTAATTTTACTCATACATACCAGTTTTCTTGCAGTCATTATTTATTACAAAACCTACTACAGGGCTGGGGCTGTAGCTCTATGGTAGAGCACCTACCTCACATGTATTAGACACTGGGTTCGATCCTCAGCATCACATAAAAATAAAGATATTGTGTCCATCTATAACTAACAACATTTTTTTAAAAACCCTACTATAATACAGTTTTTTTAAAAACCTACTATAAAATATTATAATATAATACAATATTAAGGAAAATTTACTTATGTTGGTCTAGATCTTTTTTTTCTAAATTTAAAGAGTTTTTTTGGTCATGAAAACATACCAAAATTACATCATATATAATTTAGACAGTTTGCTCTCCACTGAACTAATTTGTTTCACTAAAATTTACTTTATTTTGTTATTTTTTTTTAAATTGTAGATGGACACAATACCTTTATTTTATTTATTTATTTTTATGTCTTGCTGAGGATCAACCCCAGTGCCTCACACATGCAAGGCAGGCACTCCACCAGTGACCTACAGCCCCAGCCCCTTGTTAGTTATTAATATACTTGAAAATGTTATCATTTATCATTTAATACATCTGTTCAATACTAGGTAACTTATGAAGCACCTAAGATTTCTCCAAAAAGATATTAAGAAAATTAACTCTAGTTGCAGAGTGTATAAACATTTCCACAAGTAGAAAATGCCAAAATATGTTTCTGTTGTAGGATCTGGGAAATATCTAGCTGTGGCATCTCATGACAGCTTTATAGATATATATAATGTAATGAGTAGTAAACGAGTGGGAATATGCAAAGGAGCTACAAGTTGCATAACCCATATTGATTGGGATATTAGAGGTAAGACTTTAAACAGTTTAATATTTAATAAAAGTATGATTTATAAATAAATTTTATTACACTAAAATTTGATTTAGTGTAGCTACTTTAAAGAAACAAACATGATTTGTTTGGATCTTGTTAGAATCAAAAAACTTTGTGAAAAATAAACTGTATTCTCAAAATTATTTTCCACTACTTTATTTTACATCTAAAAGGGAATGCTATAAACTTTCTTAGTACTTTACCTTATGTCATTCAAATGACAGTACAGTAATAAGTTATTTCGTTTGGGGAATAATATAAATATATTATACATAAAGATTTTTAGTTAGATAATGTACTAGTTATTATCTGATAAGTTTGACAAACTTCAAATTTGGAAATATAAATGTTAATGAGTATTTTAACCTCCTTTTCCTATTTATTGTTATGCATTTCCATAATTATATAGCATAATTTAATGAGTATCTTTGTATTTTATGACAGTGTTTGATAAGTTAAAATAAATGTTAAATATTTTAAATGCTACCTTTAAGGGTTATATTTTTATATTTTCAACTTTAAAACTTTAATATTTTAAATTAAGGATTCTCTTAGGTATTGCTAAACAAAATACTTGCATGCATTTAAAAAAAAACTTCAATATTTGTTTCTAAGATTTTTTCAATATGCCTAAAAACAAATAGCTTCTATGTATTTGCATAAATAAAAAGTTAAGCTGTTTATGAATTTAATTATATGGAGATTAAGAAAATACAATATCTTAAAATATTTTGGAGAGGAAAATGATTTTTTATACTTAAGCTTATTTTTTCCAATAAAATTGAAACATTATACTAATGATATAAGTATTTATATAAGTATGTTCTGTATATTTTTTATTTTTTTAAGGAAAGCTTTTACAGGTCAACACTGGTGCTAAAGAACAGTTATTCTTTGAAGCTCCCAGAGGGAAAAAACAAACCATCCCCAATGTGGAGGTAGGAGGACACTGGTGCTTGTAGTGGTGTTCATATGAGTAAAAGTGGTTGGAAAACTTATGCCTACTTTTCATCATTTAGTTACAAGTGAAGTTTATTCTCACATTATTTGAATGATATTCTTGTGTTGTGTTTATTTTATTTGGCTAGAATGCATGTAACTATGAAACACCTAAGATAGGTAAAGGAACAGATACTGTTTTAAGTAGAAGAATAAAGATGGTATTCTAGCTATGCTAGAATCATTTTCCTCAAAGGAAAAGAGGTACCCACTAGTCACCAGTAAGGGACATACCATCTGATTTGAAGTACTGTACATCTGCCACATCTTTGGAACCCATATGCCTATGATGCTTATTAGTAGATTTCTCTTTAAAAAAAATTTAAGTGTCTTTACTTTTTTGCCTGACAATATTGGATTTTTTGTTTGTTTTGTTTTGGGGTGTTTTAGGCATGGCCTAGGAAAACATGCTCAGTAAATTTAATATAAAAGTGGCTTTAAAAGGAAAAATGTATGGGCTGGGGAAATAGCTCAGTTGGTAGAGTTCTTACCTCACATGCACATGGCACCACACACACACACACACACAAAATAAATAAATAAATAGATAGATAGATAGATAGATAGATAGATAGATAGATAGATAGATAGATAAATAAATAAATAAATGGAAAAAAAATAAAAAAGATTGTACCAGACAGATCGGGCGCGTTCAGGGTGGTATGGCCTTAGACTTTTTTTTCTTTCTTACTTTTCTTTTCTTGCTCTTCTCATCCATTCTCCTCTACTCTTCCCCCTCTGGTCCTCACAACCTCAACATATGTGAAACTAAGAACTTTGCATGAAATTGGACTTTAAGAACTGAATCACCAGAATAGTATAATATAGAGGAATTGCATAGGCCCCACCTCACCCCCCCTTTATTTTCTCTCTTTCTTTCCTTGTTATTTTTTCTTCCTCCCTCTATCCCACTTTCAACCTCCTAACTTTTACTATTTATATGTAGGATAATTTTCTAAATACAGATAAGGAGTTTGAATTTATACATTCTTCCGTAAATTACCCCTGTCTATTCATTAGAGTTCTCCTCCAAAGTTGCTAAATTAGGTTAATCCCATACCTTCACTCCTTTCCCCTTTAACAATAGCATCCTACCCCTGACTCTGAGTTCTCTATACACCACCAGAAATGGTATGCCTTTTATGAAACTAATGAATTTATTCTAAATAATAAATTTAAGTCAACATCTGTAGACATAGAGATTAACTATGTTTTAATAATGAAAATTTGCTCATAGATGATGTATTATTGGAAACTGTTAACATTGTTTCTCTCCACAAAAGAGAGATTTTGGAACTATACAAGAGCAATATAGATTTATAGGGGGAAAATATTAACACAACAGTCACACAGAGCTGGAAAGAAATGTGACCAGCACAATTCACAATAGCTAGACTGTGGAGCCAGCCTAGATGCCCTTCAATGGATGAATGGATAAAAAAAAAAATGTGGCATATATACACAATGGAATAATACTCAGCACTAAAAAATAATAAGATCATGGCATTTGTAGGGAAATGGATGGCATGAGAACAGATTGTGCTAAGTGAAGTTAGCCAATCCCAAAAAAACAAATGCCGAATGTCTTCTCTAATATAAGGGGGGGTGACTCAAAATGGGGTAAGGAGGAAGAGCAGCGGAAGAAGGTTACCTCTACATAGGGAAGAGGGGTGGGAGGGAAAGGAAGGGAGAAAAGGAATTGCATGGAAGGTGGAAGGAGACCCTCATCTTTATACAAAACACATGTATGAAGATGTGAGGAAAAAAAAAGAATAGTGTTTCCTTAGATTAGGTAGAGAGAAGTGATGGGAGGGGAGGGGAGGGGTTAGGGGGATAGGAAGGATAGTAGAATAAAACCGACATTATTATTAATATATGTGACTGCATGACTAAAATGATTCTGCAACCTGTACACTCAGAAAAATGAGAAATTATATCCCATCTGATTCAAATATATGATATGTCAAGGTACTGTCGTGTAACCAATTAAAACAAAAAATTAAAATTAAAAAAAAAAGATCGTACCAGTTGAAAAACATAATGCATAATAGAAATTTAGACATGAACTGTTATGTTTCTTGATTATTCCTTTTTTTTTTTTTGTCAGTAAGGATAAATACAGGAGCACCCTACCACTGAGTTAAATCCCTAGAGCTCTATGTGTCTTTATATATTTTACTTTGAGATAGGGTCTCCTGAGTTGCCCAAGTGGGCCTCAATCTAGTGAACCTCCTGAGTACCTGGAATTACTGCACCACTGTGCCTGGTTGTTCCTCGATTATTCAATATCACTGTATGCTCAGCATCTTGAACACACAGTGAGGGCTGGGGATGTAGCTCAGTTGTACAGTGTTTACCTAGCATGTGTGAGGCCCTGGGGTTGATACCCAACACAGCAAAAAAACAATAAAAAGCCCAATCAAGAACACATATGGGGCTGGAGTTGTGGCTCAGTGGTAGAGTGCTCGCCTACCACTAGGGCCCTGGGTTCGATCCTCAGTACCACATAAATGTAAAATACAGATATTGTATCCACCTAAAACTTAAAAATAAATATTTTTTTTAAAAAAGAACACATATTAAATATATAATAAGGACTTCCTGAATAATATTATATTAAATTTTTTCTGCAAGAACTAGTAGACTGTGAGAAGCTTTAAAACCAAGCCAACTAATGATTTGTTTTTCTGTTAATATTTAATTTCACTTGTGACATGTAATAACAAAGATGAATGTTCAGATTTTGGTTGTCAATTTAGATATTACACAGTAATTTTCTCTTTTTAGGTAGAAAAAATTAGTTGGGCATCATGGACAAGTGTGCTTGGTCTATGCTGTGAGGGAATTTGGCCAGTAATTGGAGAAGTCACAGATGTAACTGCCTCTTGCCTCACCAGTGACAGAATGGTCCTAGCTACAGGCGATGATTTGGGATTTGTGAAGTTATTTAAATATCCTGCTAAAGTATGTATTTTTCTTTTAACTTTCCTAGTGATCATAATTGTGAAAATGATTAAGATAATGTTCCTTCATAGTATTTCATTGTTGTAATAGGAATAATACATGTGTAAAATGTAATGTTATACCACAAAAGGTTCAGAATTATGTTTCCTATTCTTGGAACCATATTTATTTTTATCTAGAATAAGTATTATAATCTATGATTCTGTGCCTAAAGTTATATATTATATTTTACGGATTTTTTTAGTATTGAATAATGTAAATTTCCTTTTTAAAAACCTATTCCTTTTATTCCCAATATTAAATTAAGCTATTTAACTATTTTCATTATTTATAAATAAATAAACAAAAGGTCCATCAATAACTAAAAAAGAAATTTTTAAAAAGAGAATAATATAAACTATATGTATAACTTTTAAAGAGACAATGTTTTAACCAAATACTAAATACTAAAACCCCTATAAAATTAAAATAAACAACAGTGATTTAATGTGATTAATGATGTTTTATTGAAACCAAACTATACAGATTCTTTGGAGCTCTCTATGTCTATGTTATGTTATGTGATTGCTCAATTCTTATTTCACTTTCCCATATTCAAACTACTGCAAAATGTTAGGCCTCTGTTTAGCACAAAAGTAAAATTTATGTACCAAAGCCAATAAATGCCTGCCTGCTTACCTTCTCTTCCTCCCTCCCTCTATTGCTTCCTCCCTCTTTCTACTGGTCATTGAACCCAGGGCACTCTACCCATTGAGCTACATCCCCAGCCCTTTTTATTTTTCATTTTGAAATGGGTCTTGTTCAGTTGCCCAGGCTGGGCTTTCTACTTCAGCCTCCTGAGGAGTTGGGATTACAAGTATGCACTACCATGCCCACTTCAGATGTATTTATTTCTTAATTCCCATAAATTAAGTTATATATTATAATCTAGCACCAACAAGAACATAAACATAAATTTGAAATAATGCATCAAATCATTTTATGATATTCAGTTCATTTTTTAAATTTTATTATTATTTTTTATTTATATATAAAAGCAGAATGCATTACAATTCTTATCACATAATACATACCACAATTTTTCATATCTATGGTTGTATACAAAGTATATTCACACCAATTCATTTCTTCATACATGTACTTTGGATAATAATGATCATCACATTCCACCATCGTTTCTAACCCCATGCCCCCTCCCTACCCATCCAACCCTTCTGCCCTATCTAGAGTTCATCTGTTGCTTCCATGCTCCCTCTCCCTACCACACTATGAATCAGCCTCCTTATATCAAAGAAAACATTCAGCATTTGGTTATTTGGGATTGACTAAATTCACTTAGCATTCATTAACTTCCCAACTCCATCCATTTACCTGCAAATGCCATGATTTTATTCTCTCTTATTTCTGAGTAATATTCCATTGTGTATATATGCCACATTTTTTAATCCATTCATCTATTGAAGGGCACTTACTTTGGTTCCATAGTTGAGCTGTTGTGAATTGTGCTGCTACAAACATTGATGTGGCTGTATCTCTGCAGTATGCTGTTTTTAAGACCTTTGGGTATAGGTTTTTAAGACGGAGGAGAGGGATAGCTGAGTCAAATGGTGGTTCCATTCCCAAATATTGCAAGAAATCTCCATACTGCTTTCCATATTGGCTGCACCAATTTGCAATCCCAACAGCAATGTATGAGTGTACCTTTTTCTCCATATCCTCGCCAATGCTTATTGTTGTTTGTCTTCATAATAGCTGATATTCTGACTGGAGTGATCTATGCTAAGCCCCAGGCCAACATCATTCTAAATGGAGAAAAATTTGAAGACATTCCCTCTAAAAACTGGAACAAGACAGGGATGCCCTCTTTTACCACTTCTATTTAACATAATTATTTTTTAAGAGAGAGAGAGAGAGAGAGAGAGAGAACTTTTAATTTATTTTTTTAGTTTTCGGTGGACACAACATCTTTATTTTTTTATTTTTATGTGGTGCTGAGGATCGAACCCAGAGCCCACGTATGCCAGGCGAGAGCGCTACCGCTTGAGCCACATCTCCAGCCCTTAACATGATTCTTGAAACACTGACCAGAGCAATTAGACACACGAAAGAAATTAAAGGGCTACACATAGGAAAAAAAGAACTCAAATTAGCACTATTTGCTGATGATATGATTCTATACCTAGAATACCCTAAAAGTTCCACCAGAAAACTTCTAGAACTAGTAAATGAATTCAGCAAAGTAGCAGGATATAAAATCAACGGCATTTCTGTATACCAGTGATAAATCCACAGAAATGGAAACAAGGAAAACCACCCATTTTCAATAGCCTCTAAAAAATAAAATAAAGGGCTGGGGATGTGGCTCAAGTGGTAGCACACTCGCCTGGCATGTGTGCGGCCCGGGTTTGATCCTCAGCACCACATACAAAGATGTTGTGTCTGCCGAAAACTAACTAAATAAATGAATAAATTCATTCTCTCTCTCTCTCTCTCTCTCTCTCTCTCTCTCTCTCTCTAAAAAAAATAAAATAAAATACTTAGGAATCAACTTAATGAAAGAGGTGAAAGATCTATATAATGAAAATTACAGAACCCTAAAGAAAGAAGTCAAAGAAGACCTTAGGAGATGGAAAGATCTACCTTGCTCTTGGATAGGCAGAATTAATATTATTAAAATGACCATACTTCCAAAAGCACTATACAGTTTTAATGCAATTCTGATCAAAATCTCAATGACATTCCTCATAGAAATAGAAAAAGCAATCATGAAATTCATCTGGAAAAATAAGAGACCCAGAATAGCTAAAGCAATCTTTAGCAGGAAGAATGAAGCAGGTGGCATCACTATACCAGATCTTAATCTATACTACAGAGCAATAGTAACAAAAATGGCATGGTATTGGCACCAAAACAGACTGGTAGACCAATGGTACAGAATAGAGGACACAGAGAGTAACCCTCAAAATTACATTAATTTATATTAGACAAAGGTGCCAAGAACATACATTGGAGAAAAGATAGCCTCTTCAACAGATGGTGCTGGGAAAACTGGAAATATACATGCAACAAAATGAAATTAAACCCCTATCTCTCACCATGCATAAAACTCAACTCAAAATGGATCAAGGACTTAGGAATAAAACCAGGGATCCTGCATCTAATAGAAGAAAAAGTAGGCCCTAATCTCCATCATGTGGGATTAGGCCCCAACTTCCTTAATAAGACTCCTATAACGAAAAATTAAAATGAAGAAGCAATAAATGGGATGGACTCAAACTAAAAAGTTTCTTCTCAGCAAAAGAAACATCTTGGGAGCAAATCTTTACCCCTCACACATCAGATAGAGCACTAATCTCTAGGGTATATAAAGAATTCAAAAAGTAAAACACCAAAAAAACAAATAACCCAATCAATAAATGGGCCAAGGACATGAACAGACACTTCTCAGAAGATGATGTTCAATCAGTCAACAAATACATGAAAAAACATTCATCGAGATATTAGAAATATTCAATTCATTATGATACTCAGTTCATAACACCCATATTATTTTTTGTAGATCAACACTGAAATGAAGACACAGGCTTAAAACTCATAGGAGGGCTGAGGTTCTGGCTTAATGGTAGAGCACTTGCCCAACATGCATGAGGCACCACATAAAAATAAATAAATGAAGATATGTGTTCATTTACAACTAAAAATATTTAAAAAATAAAAACCTCCAGGGAAACTCAGATATTCAAAAACACTACATACACAGTGCCTACTTTAGATACATATATGAGCTAGAACCTTAGTAGATTAAGAACATTCTATTAAGACAGTTATCAGTCAGAAACTTCATTCCAGCATTCCAAATGATGTAGATCCTTTAGGAATAAGTTTAGGATACTGGTCTACAGATTCCTTCCTTCTTCACTTCAATGCTAATAAATCTACATAACAATTATTTTTAATACATATATTTCTCCATATAATATACGGAATTAACTATATTGTTACTCCATTGAACAGTTGAGGTATTTAAATTTTTCACTGCTATAAGTAAATAATATGATAAGTATTTTTCACATACATAGCATGTTCTTAGCATAGATATCCAAAAGGCAGATTAGTGAGACAAAAGTACGAACAGGATCTGTGTATTTATCTTAGTGATAGAATACTTGGCTAGCATGTGCAAGGCCCTGGGTTTGATTCTCAGCAGTGCCAAATATATGCATGTATTTTTTAATGCTTTTAATGCGGAATACCACGTTGGTTTCCAAAAAAAGTTAATTGTACTAGCAATGTGTGAAATTACTAGTTTCATCCTATCCTCACCAGGTTTGGGAATTGTTACTCTTATTTAATTGGTTAAATATTAAAGTATTTAATTGGTTAAAACATTTTCTCTTTAGCACACTTGTTATTTTTTTATTCTAAGGTATTTCAATATTTTCTTGTGTTTTTATTTATGTTGCATTTGGAATGACTGACTTCAAAACATACATTAAGGAAAATTAAATATAACTAAAAATATAATTAGTTCAGAAATATAACTATAATTTTTCAAATCATGAAACTTCTCAGAAAAAGTTTGCATTTTTATCATCTCTAGGGAAAATTTGGAAAATTTAAGAGGTATGTGGCCCATAGCACACATGTCACAAATGTTCGTTGGACTTATGATGACAGCATGTTGGTGACCCTAGGAGGTGCGGATATGTCTTTAATGGTATGGACAAATGAGATGGAAAGTTATCGAGAAAGAAGGCCTTGTGATAGTGAGGAATCTGATGTAGATTCCGAAGAAGGTGGAGGTATGTCATTTTAAAACATTTTAACAAAAACATATAAAAAAATACAGCACTGATTTAAACTATAGAATTTAAAGTAATAATAATACTTTAATAACTGTGGTGTTGGGGCTGGGAATGTGGGTCAAGTGGTAGCATGCTTACCTAGCATGCGTGAGGCACTGGGTTCAATTCTCAGCACCACATAAAAATAAAATAAAGATATTATATCCACCTAAAAACTAAAAAATGAATATTTAAAAAAATGATTGTGGTATTAGTGTTTTTGGTTAGTTTTATATAAAAATTGGCTTTATAATTTAAGAATAGCAGACTGGCAAGTATTAATACTTAGCTATTCTTCATCTACAAATGTAAGACAA